TCTCCAGTTTTTAGATGATTAAAAAAAATATATTATTAATTACTGAATAATTTTACTAGATATTAAAATTATTACAAAATTGTATAATATTTTAGTAATTTATTTTAAAATTTTAGTAACGTAGAACTTACATTGATCAGATCTATTCTTTATTTTTATAGTTGTATCGTTTAATTTAATAAAAAATATACTATTGGACACTTTAATTTTATGTTTCAAAATTGGAATTCAATTATTACCATATCTTAATTGCTATAATAATAATATTATAGATACAGTTGGTTAAATACCTGATTTTTTTAAAATTAATACTAAGACTTTGATGATTCTTAGTTCAGATTATGGTAATTTATTATAAAATTTAAAGTTTAAATAAAATAATAAAATTAATAATACATACAAAATAGTATTATTATAATTACTTTTCAAACATTGTTAGGTTTTTGCATATTTTATAATTTATATTATGTCAACTCCTAGATGAAATAGTAATTAATATTTTTTGTTTAAATTCAGTGAAATTTTTGACATTGGAGCCATTTGGAAACTTTATCCTACTATAGAGTATTTTTTTACACTAATGTGCATAGTTAAGATTTATGAATACATGAATGTATTGAACGTAATAGATTTTTAATTATCCCTCTATGGTTTTTATAATTAACAAAAATTAAATGTATTATAAATGTGAATTTAATTAATAACATCAAAAAAAAAAAAAACAAAAAAAAACAAAATAATAATAATTTCCTCTCTGTTTTTTGCCTGAATTTTATAAACCTATTATGATTAACATTAAGTACAGTATCAGTTGGGTAATATTCATTATGTTCTTATATTTTTATTTTTAGAGTTTTAAAAAAAAAAAAATGTTTTATAAATTACTATACGAATTCATAGCATTTCTGAGTGAAAAAATAATATCAGTTAATAATATATATATATATATTTTTTTTTGTAATATAAATAAATGTACTAGTTAAATGATAAAGTTTCGTAGAAAAAAATTTTCTTGACTATAGAGTTCAGAGTGCATGTATTATTCAAAGTCAAAGGTGCGAGACACCAACGAATATCAAACGTTCATATTGCGTTTATTGTATTGTACAGATTAAACAACGTCGTGAAAATAAAATATGTTGGTACACACAGTAAAAAATTATATTATTCTCGAATAACTAAAACGAATTTCATTATTATATTTTGTTGTGGGCGTTGTTTATAGATAATATAATAATACAAATTTGGGGTTTTGTGCAGAATGTGACTACTTTTTAGTTTAATACATAGTTATATTCTTATATTGTAATTTTTTGAGTCTTACAACAAAAAAAAAAAAAAAACGAGCCGCAGTTTAGTTCCACTGCAGGTTCGTAGTAATATTTTATAATTATATAAATGTGATGATTCGATGGTGTGATTTTTGTATACCTAAGGTTTATTACATGTGTTCACGAGGATAAAATGTGGCCCGTAGTCCGAACGCGTATAAGTAAAACGTTAAGCGTCCTTAGTATTCATTCGTTCAAGGGTTTAAATATTCGTTATGATGTGAGCATGTGTGTAGTAAACGTAATTCCGTGGCGAAGTTTCAAATTTTTCTAGAGGGATCGGACAGTATAATGCAATACTAAATACCACTGCTAAAACGTAATTGAAAAAGTTGAGAAGTATTTAAGGTATTTTTAAAAAATCAAAGTTATATTGAAGAGAAGTCACTTTGTTTTCAGATTTTTTATTGTGTCAGCATTGATACATACCTAAGTACTAGCGTTAGATTACAAACATAGTTTTAGAAATAAAAATTTAAGGAATCGTTGTCGTAATTGTTTGTAAACAAATCTTTGTAAATGTGTACCTATATATTACACTTACACATGTCTTTCCATTCGACAGATGAAAAAGGATGTACAATAATATAGCTAACACTTGCGGGTATGTACATAATGATATTAGGTATGTTCCTTTACACGCACACTTGCTGCACTGATAAACACATTGTAAACACGTCAAGTTAAATGGAATATTTTATGTAAATATTTTGATGGAATTCGATATTTAAACGAAAAAAATAATAATTTTAGGTATTTTGTTTCGTTCAGAAATAATATTCATGATTAATTTTACACCTATACTTGACTATACTTATATAATTTAAAATATTAAATTTATATAATTTCTAATCAATACTATTACCTAATTTTTAAGTAGTTAGTACCCACATTTATTTTATGTTTTTACTAGTCAATATCATATATCTAGTATAAATTATAATATTGTATAGGTAGGTAATTAATATTTAACATATTATATTATATAATTACAATTTTTAAACATTAAATAAGTATACTTACCTAAGTGAAAGGGAGATATAGTGAATATAATTTTTATCTCGTCCCAAAAAATAGTAAATGTGGTAGGTACTTAAATAAAATGTTTATCTTAGGAGCGTTATTACAATGTCGAGCTAAATTTGATTTAACTGTAAGTTAATCAAAGTGTATAATATGAGTAAAGTTTGGTGTAGCGGAGACTTTAGCAGAGAATTTAGAAACGGACTGTTTTACAGCGTTAACGTTAGTGCCAACTATGAACTTACTGTTTATTGTTTATAGTTTACATACTGTATTTTATAGCAGTATAATAATATTATAAAATATTGTGTTTATATTATATTTAAATGTGGTAAAAGATTGACTCAATGCATACATTTAATAATAGGTACGCGTAATAAATATTATAATATTAGTACTTAATTGCTTGCTGTGGTTGTTTTCATTAACATTATAATGCTTAGTCATTTTTGGATAGACTTTTACTATTAGTTGATGCCTTTGAACTCGATACGGAGTCATGAGATCTATAACAAACATGGAAATGCGCGTTATTTTTTGATTATACACTGTAAATTAACAAATAAACAGTAGTCGACGCTCATTTGACTCACTTTGTGTCCAAACTAGTCGAGTCCGTTTCCTAATAAAATTACTAATAATAAGACCAAAATGTGAAATGTCAAAGAATAAAAATATATATGCGTATAATACAATTAATACATAAAAAAATTAAGACATTATGTAATTCAACAATCATGATAAACATAATATGGCTATACGTACATATAGTTGTATACACTTTTGTATATTTTATAGTGCCATGTCATACTTAATATTTTTAATTATTAAAATAATTAATACTTTAAACCGATAGCTCAGACTAGGCGATCGAGAAGGTAATTAACACACACACACACACACATATACGAAACGTAGATAAGTATATAGGGAATTTTTATTGTGATTATGACTCGGAACTTAATGCATTTAAAAAGTACTAAATATGCTTACACTTATGCGCTTATAACAGTACAATTATGTTTTAAAACTACAAAATCATTTAATACGCAAAACTATGCACTATAAATTTTAATGTAAAAATATTTTTTTTCGTAGTGTCGTGAAATTAATTTTAAGTCTACCTAGCAATAAATCTAATTATACCCTCTCAAAAAAAAAACATGTAAATGCAATTACTTCCGAGCTCTAATTATGATATAACAGTGATCTTGAGTTTCTTTTCCGATTAAATTGTAAGTGCGTTCATTAGGTGCGGTTCCGGAGCGAATCCTTTTTTCGATATTTTTAAAACCATATGATCAAAAAGTGTTTACAATTATTTAATACCAAACGTGCGAATTGCAATGTTTTTTTCGTGTTATTTTTACTATAAATGCGCGAAACACCACCGCTTTTTTATATTATGTTGAACACACTAATCGTAGGTTCTGTGGTCTGTGATTACAATTATATTTTTATTAATAAGCTAGGACAGACTTAACCAGTTTGCACAAAGTTATTATACTGTATATTTATTCTATTTATTTGTTAATTTATAAGTTTCATCATTTTATTTATTGTTGGGTCAAAAGATTGTGCACTTCTAATATTTATATATATACGAGTATATATACCTACTCGTATAATACAAATTTGTTAAATGACTTGAAATGTTGGAATGATAATATGATGTCTATTAATGTTGTGCAACCAAAAACTAGTTGAAAACAGTTATATTTTAAATCAGTTTACATGTGCTTTTACCAGTTATACTTATTTTTACTTTATTTGCGCATAAATATATTAACAACCACTAGGAAACCGATTTATATGCTATAATAATACAAGAAAGACTCAAGTCCTTGAAAATTATAATTATATTACTGATGATGTGTAATATTAGCTATGGTCCAATAAATTATCGATTTAGAACATTTAAGTTAATCCATGGTAATTTGAATAAAAAATAAAAAAATAATTGATCAATATATTGGAAAATGTATACTTATTATTGTGTTTAAATAGGTACAAACATACATGAGATAAACATACCATAATATACTTATAATTAAGTTTAAGTCTTAAAGACATGATTATAATTTTATTAAAAAACTAAAAAAATAATAGGTATCTACTGTAAAAAGTTCCTATATGAATTTATGTTAAATCGATGTTTATTTAATACACATATTATATATAATTTTAAATTTGCACTCGTTTTGATTAAATAATAAATTATATTCCATTAAATTAAAATAATATTTTATATATTTGTTATATAATATTTAAATATATTTTTATCAAAATAAAATTATTTATATTACGTAGGGAGTTATGTTTGATTATCGTGAACCGACCGTTAATACCTAAATCTTATACGGGTAACAAACGGTTATGTCTCAACTTTTAATAGAAATAAATTACAATATTTGAATTATTAAAAAATTGCAGTACTACTTGTGTTTAAAATGTAAAATAAAAATTTGAATTGTATGATGTCTGGAACAATCTGGTTTAAAATAAAAAAAACCTATATGCTTTTGGATCCTCTACACACCAGTAACTAATTTTTTGCCGAACTCAAAACACTTTTACAGTGCATCACTTTTTTTCACTTACCTAATTTATATTTACTAAAAACTAGTTAATTTACGATTATTTTTTTTACTGTTTTCTAGAAGGCGGCCCATCTGCTGAATTCAGTTCCGGTTCCATTGGCCGGTGGCTAAATGGTTTGGCGATTGTTTGTTTGAAACTAAGATTAGCTGAGTCCAAATCTAATCTAGGCATTTGACTCAGGTACAACGACACCACCTGAACGAACAATACTTCATAATCAACATTAATCCAAAAGGTTTTTACTTTTTAGTCATACATAAAAGTTTTGAAAATATATTTTTAGCGTAGTTTTAATATCTTTGTATCGGAAACTGCATGGTTTAGATAAATCGTCAGACTTTAATCAATAATATTATATGACGTATTATAATTTAAATTTACACCACAATTTAAAGGAAAAAGTCCAATTTTAAAGTGAAAATATATATGTGGGTAACCATAAAATTTAAAATAAATAACTAATAAAGTGAAAAATTGCTGCTGTTAGTACCTATTGGTATTAAGGACTTGGTTAGTACCTTTTAAAATTTAAATATTAAAAACAAAAAATAATGTACGGCAGTTATTAACAGCTGTGAATATTATAAACGTTTTATATTAAGTACATTGTACACATCAACAACCAACCGCAAATAGATACGCTTGCAGGTTAGTCTTCGGCAAGATGATAAAACGATTTATTGTCGCATATATTAGGTTTGTGTATTCGTCCTCCCCCCATCTTCTCACCTGAAATTTTATCAAAAAACGGCGCTGTTCTAATAAGTTTTCCAACTCCTGGAACTCTAATCCTTAAGCTTAGAAATATCATAATTATTAAATGCGTATGACTTCTATTAAGCGCAGTTACTGACTTTCTTGAAATCGGTGGTCGTGAGGTTCTCGACGACTGCGTAAACATTATTCACGTTTCTGTAAAGAAACCAATCGAGGAACACGTCGAACGCGATGTTGTCGTCTAGCGGCAATATCATATTATCAAACCGGGACAGCACGTAGTATAGACGATGTGCTCGGTTGTTCAGTATTTCCGAGCTGGCGATCAAGAGCTTGCCCAACGATCTTATATGAGGAATTCCGCACAGGTTTATTTGCTGTTTACAGTGCACGTGTACGAGGTTCATGTCCGTGAAGTGCTCGAGAACTGTCAGGTCCAACAATCCGATTTCCCTCGTGAGCTCCATTCCGTACAATACTGCAACGTGTTAATAAGTATGATGTATGTATTTAGACGTGTATAAAATTATGTGCGCGTGTTTATTATGGACATCGGATCTATCGTGTTACTGTTTATAGTATATTGAAATCAAAATAATATTCGATTAATTAAATATCTCTATTATAATAGTGCCGATTCAACAAAATGACTGTTAATACGTATCCACGAAAACGCGCGGTATATTTACACGACGCGTTGTGTTGAGATGGATTTTTGAAACCATGCGTTTGAATTTAATCTGATTGAGAATGGTATGATTATACTTACTAATAATTACATCGTTGTTTGACTAATTTTCACGACGAATCGATAAATATTTTTAACTCATTAAATTAAATGATCATAAATCGGTTTACTTTTTATACATTGTCTAGTACGTTATATTTAGTTCAAAAGAATGATTTAATAACAAAAATCACAGCATTAAAAGTGTTTGTTAAACTTGTCATGGCGCCACATGATTACGAGTTGAGGTTAAGAGATCGTCGCCTCGCATGTGTTGACTCCGTCTTACACACGTACGACATGGTAAATTTTGTTCACCAGTTTCAATAGTGTGCAGCTTTTAGCTTTGATATTACAGAGATCTATTATCAAACTTTTAATTAAGAACGTTTGGTGTGTTCTCTCGTTGGTTTTTTACGATATTTTAATTTTTAAACGAGTTACAAGTATGAAAAATATAAATATTTGAAAATGCTCATAATTCTAGTATAGATATTTCATTTTGTCCAAGTTTGCATTACAATTTTAAATTTGTTAGTTAAAAATACAGTCGGACTTGATAAATAGTGTATTGGAAAATCGCTAGAAAGGCAATATCTTACTATAGGCTCAAGCGAAATCGTGTTGCGTTTTTGGGTGTAATCAATTTGCACCAAAATTAACCGTAAATATTTACAACACGTGTTATTTGTACCAAAATTTTTAAACTGCGTTTGTAATTTGTATCAAAATATTCAAAATAAAGATATGTATTTTGCACCATCTCAGGTTAACACCTAACCGAGTGCGGATTTAAAGATGGGCAAAAATAAGCAAAGGTCCAAGAAATGTGTACGGGCTTTACGCAAAAAAACGTTTAAAAAAGAAAGCTGCGGCTGCGGCTGCGGCTGCGTCTGCGTCCAGAACCAAATCGACTTCCAATAAACAGGACAAGAACACAGCTGGCACGGTGTCAACACCAATAACACCGAAGCCTAATCGTAGTTTAAATGGTGTGTGATAAGTACTTAAAATAAAATTAACATAATACCATCAACCAAGATGTGTTTTATACTTGTTCCATCGTGACTTATAAATATAAAACTATATACGTATGACAACTAAGGCTAGGATTAATATGCAATAAAAGATTGTAAAATATGCATTTGGTTTATTAAAAATATACAATTAATATTATTTATGTACGCCAAAAAATATGAAATACATATTATACTCAAAATAAAAATAAAATAATAATAATAATAATACGTTTTAAAATTAATAATATTATTTTATTCTTAACTATACATACACGCTAATCGAATGTATTATACAAAACAATTATATAGTTATTTGAATTTTTAAAACTAAACTATTTTCTATTAGACCTTAATATATATTATATGTTCTTATATAGGTATTTTTGAACAATATCAATGCACACTGTCGTACGAAAAAAAAATCTAGTATTATGAAATATGCATTTTTAGCGTTTTTATAGTCGAAATAAGCAATAATATGCATTTTATTGAAAATATGCAGTAAGTAGGTAATAATTCAGAGCTTACATTAAAAAAAATTTTTTTTTACGATATTTACAATTAAAACGTTACACAACTTTTGCGTTTATCGTTATTCAGAATTAATAAGCTATCATTGTCATGATAGATTTTTTATGTATGACTGTTAATGTTGCTTATAGGTTAACGACTTACGTCACTGGTAATTATAGTAAGAAAACAAAATAAAAATATTCAAGTAACGTTTGTAAAAATATGACGGGTAATATAGGTACCTAACTCACTTCATGCGCGAATAACAAAAAGACATTTACAATAATATGCACATACGTATATTTTAAATAAATTATTTTTTAAACATTTTTAATAACTATCGTTATGTCTGTGTTTTTTCAATGAAATCACGACGATGGAAACTACCGCAGACAGAACTAGTGATCAACTACCGACCACGGATTTAAAGATGGGAAAAAAAAAACGAAGGTCCAAGCGACCAAAACGCGAGAAACGTTGCCAAAAGATGGTCGCGGCTTGGAATAGGTTTGCGACCGCGGTTGAGACTAAGGCTGCGAATGCGGCTGAGGCTGAGGCTGCGGCTGAGGCTATGGCTGAGGCTATGGCTGAGGCTGCGGCTGAGGCTGTGGCTGAGGCTGCGGCTGAGGCTGCGGCTGAGGCTGTGGCTGAGGCTTTGGCTGAGGCTGTGGTTAAGGCTGCGGTTTCGTCTACGTCTACGTCCAGCACCGATTCGACTTCCGATGAACAGGACAAGAACACAGCTGGCACCGTGTCAACACCAATAACACCGAAACCGAATCGTAGTTTAAATGGTGTGTGATAAGTACTTAAAATAAAATTAACATAATACCATCAATCAAGATGTGTTTTATACTTGTCCTATGATGACTTATGAATATAACACTATATACAAAAACTAGGGCTAGGATTAATATGCAATAAAAAATTGTAAAATATGCATTTGGTTTATTAAAAATATACAAAAATATGCAATTAATATTATTTATGCACACCAAAAATTATGAAATATATATTATACTCAAAAAAATAAATATAATAAGAATAATACGTTTTAAAATTAATAATATTATTTTATTCTTAACTACACATACACGCTATTCGAATATATTACACTAAACAATTATATAGTTATTTGAATTTTTAAAACTAAACTATTTCTAGTAACGAAATATACCACGAAATATGCATTTTTAGCGTTTTTATAGTCGAAATAAGCAATAATATGCATTTTATTAAAAATATGCAATAGGTAGGTAATAATTCAGGGCTTACATTTGAAAAAAAATTTTTTTACGTTGTTTACAACTAAAATGTTGTTTAACTTTTGCGTTTATCGTTACACAGAATTAATAAGCTATGATTGTCTTGGTAGATTTTTTATGTACCTATGACTGTTAATGTTGCTAATAGGTTAACGACTCTAGTAACTGGTACTTATAGTAAGAAAATAAAATAAAAATATTCAATTAACGTTTGTAAAAATATGACAGGTAATATAGGTACCTAACTCACTTCATGCGCGAATAACAAAAAGACATTTAAAATAATATGCACATATATTTTAAATAAATTATTTTTTAAACATTTTTAATAATTATCGTTATATCTGTGTTTTTTCAATGAAGTCACGACGATGGAAACTACCGCAGACAGGACTAGTGATCCACTACCGACCACATCATGTGCAAACGATGGCAGTAAACCGAGTGAGGGCTTAAAGATGCGCCGAACAAGGCGAAAAAGGTCTCACTTACAGCAACCTACACGCGTGAAACGTCGCGAGGTCAGAGCCGCGGCTAGGGCTGCGGCTTCGACTGCAGCTGCGTCTACGTCCAGCACCGAATTGACTTCCGATAAACAGGACAAAACCTCCACCGCACAGTGTCAATACCAATAACACCGGAACCAGATCGTAGTTTAAATAGTGTGTGATAAGTATTTAAAATAAAATTAACATAATACCATCAACCAAGATCTGTTTTATACTTGTTCTATCATGACTCATGAATATAAAACTATATAACAACTAAGGCTAGAATTAATATGCAATATAAAATTATAAAATATGCATTTGGTTTATAAAAATATGCAATTAATATTATCTATGTACAAAAATATTCAAAATAAAAAAAACTACAGTTTACCTCATAATGGGGTAATTTTTGAACATGACTGACAAAATTAATAATTAGAAGTTGCAAAAAAATCATACTGTTGCATATCAATCTTAGCCCTAGACCAATAAGAATAAATTACATCACGTTAAAAACTTAATGTAAATCAATAGCATTATATTTTAATAATTCTATTATTAATTATTCTTTTTTTTTTTTTTATTTGTAAGGCTATAATATATAAGTAATTACTCTCAATGTAACTGTATTCATAAATAACGAACTCTTATTGGAAACATTAAACTACTTATTATTATTACCAAGATATTAATTGTAAATAATTAACTATAAAGTATAAACTGTACAATATCAGTATGTAACGTAAAATGGAACCAGCCCGTAAAATATATAAAAAACTAAAATATCAACTATAGGGACACGATTTTTGCCGCCAGCAATTTATAAAATAAAATAATGTAACAAGATCTATGCAAAAGTGATTGTTAAATCTATGGTTACTTTAGAGAAAAATGACTAAAAACAAACTTAAATTTTAGAGACAATCTTATATTAGGTCGTATTTGAAAATGGTGCTATTAAAAAAGTTACATTACTAATAATTTTTTTTTTTTTTTAAAGGCACTTATCTAATGTACATTAGTTTTCGACAGGGTCACTATGATGAAAGTGTTAAATTTGAATTCAATGACACATTAATGGTAACGAAAACCGATTCTGATGTGATTTGATCTAACAGCATATTTCACAATGTACCTACATATTTTCATTAGACTGTTGTTGATATCATAAATATAATTTATACAATATTGTATTAATATTAAAAACTTTTGAGTCAATATTATCATCTAACCGTAAAACAATGTGAAAAGTTTTACAAAGTAAAAACAGATAATATCTTAAAACTAATTTACATAATATTTTGAAAATGCTATTGCGTTGAGTAAAGTTCACAATGTATACGTAAAAGTTTAAAATCACCGTCAATAATATTTGTGAACAATAACAAAATAATAATTATAATATTATAATTCGTTATTAGAATATGAATTCCTACCGACCGCGCCAAAATT